TCACGTAATCCGCAATGGGGAATCGTTTTCCGGTAATTTTTATGGGAATGGAAGAGAAGAAATCTGAAACGCTCAGTGAATTTTCAGGTTCATCAACGAATACAGTACGAAATTGTCACGTAATTTTTCCCGAAGAAGTCAAATCTTAGAGAAACTTTCCGACTTATTGTGCCTCTAAAATCGAAAATTTTTGAACGTTCAACAATTTTTATGATGCCGGTCAATTATTTCTACGTTCTGTTCAGTGAAATTTCTCAATCGTTGGGAAAAATTACGGAACGACTTGGCCCCACAGCGGTGAGTCATCAGACGGGTGGTTAATTTTTACGGAACAAATCGTAGAATTTACGAGGCGATTTGTACAATTTCAGTTCCGACTCATACATTTTATTGAATTGAATTGTCATTTTTACGTTTTTTCTGGTAATTTTTAGTGAATTTTTCTCGGTATTTTTTTCCGTGATACCAGAGTCATCAAATTTTAGACATTTCATTTTAGACAATGTGAAAATCAACATTGCCATTGTAGTCAAAGATTAAAATCTGAATTTTTTTTCATTAGGTGTGAAAAAATCAATAATTTTTTTGACACCTCCTAAAAAATAATCCACCGTTTTGCAAACAAGTTTTATTATTTATTTCTAAGACGGAAGTGTTTGAAAAAATATCAGTATTTTGCAAAATTTCATTTAGATAATACTGACTGGGTATGAATTTTTTCAAATTTTTCCCATGCAATTTAGTTGAAAAATGTAAAAACTGAAAATATCCAAAAATACAGCGTAGCCCAGCGGAAGGGTAGAGCTACTTTGAATATTTTGGAGAAATGGAAAAAATTCAGCTTAAACTACATGATTCCAGAAAATATGTCTATAAATCTAGCGTCTGGCTGAGATAAGTGCCGTTTTACCCAGTACAAGGAGAATTCTTGTCCAACATCGCCGCGATTCACCAAGTTTCCCCTGTAGGTCGATTGTTTCCCATTCTCCACTTGATTCCTAACACGGGTAGAAGTTTCTTTGCTCCTGCGTGCAACGATCCCCTACCTCTTCCTCCCTTCACCCCCCAGACAGAAGTCGAAAGTTTTCCGGTTTCCGACCTCCTTCCCATCGAATGTCTGACTCTCTCGATGACGCTTCTCGTTCTACTCTCCTTCAAGCTCTTCCTGTCTGTAAGAGATCAACGCCCCTCACTCCCTTCAACGTCCTTTGTAAAATTTCAGACTCAATCGATGAAATCCGACTGTTTGTTTCTATCGGGAATGGGATGAGGCACCATTTCCACATTTTTTTCAGGCCCTGAAGTTGGACTTTAACGTGAAGTGAGTGAATCACAGATGAAAAAAGTTCATAGAAAAACCCAGGGAATTCGTTAGAAATTTCTATTGAATTTTTATTGAACTTTTTATCAGGTTTTGACCAATTCTATTGATTTATTTTCTATAGAATTTTTCCAGCTCAAATTTTCCCATTTTTTTGTTGATTTTCTCGATGAAAGAAAAAGAAAAATATGAAAAGAACTTGGAGAATTTGAGCCGAGGGAATTCTATAGAAAGTGTCTGAAGAGAATAAGTCATATAGAAAAATCGAATTCTACTGAATATTTTCTATTGAAAATTTCACTAGAATTGGCAAAAAATAAATAGAAATTCAGAAGAATTTTCTAAAGAATTCGCTAAGTTTTTCTATTAAATTTTTTCGTGCATGATGTTACACTCAAATAAATAATAAAAAAAAATTGCAAAAGAAAATCCCTCAACAAATTATTCCCACCGATTCTTAATGATATGTTTGACAATTGAATTGTCAGTACCCCCAGTAATATCGATTGATCACAATACAGGAGGCATTGCCTACCACCCAGATGCCGTGTTGCTTGCACAAAATAAAAACACTAATACATAACGTTCCTATATATCATAAAGGCAAATGTACGATATGCAAGCAACGCCCATACAGTGGTATTTATTACTCGACGATCTTGCTATCTGTATTAGCATTACGTATTAATTCCATTTACCAGATGTACGATCTTGATACCACCCAAGCAATTTATAATCTAATCTGTTAAGTTTAGACATCAAAGCCTTTTCATAATGATAAAAATTTTATTCTAAATGTCTTAATCGTAATAGAAGTATTTTTTTCCAGGTCATTGTGAAGTAAAAGGGTAAATTCACACAGTTGCCCTCTTAATCCTGAACAAATCGTGCAATTATCACTGTGTGCGCACCATTGGCAGTTATTTCGAGACGTTTATTACCACCCACGCGTGAAATTCCACAGACGAGTGGATTTTATAGAAAAACATTGGGAATTCTATTAGTTTTTCGCAGATTCTATCAGATAATTCAGCTTGTTTTTTTTAATAGAAATGTTCAATGCGAAATAGTCTAGAGAAAAAATAAGTGGAATTCAATTTTTTATACAACTTAGTCTATTGAAATATTTTTTATAGAAACTCCTTCAATTTAATTTTAATTTTTAATTTTTTTGTCGGATTTTTTAAAATGAAAACAAAAAAATCAGTGGAAAAATTGGAGGATTTCTATTGAAAAAAACAACATATTCTATTAAAATATTGTCTATAGAAATAAAAATGAAAATAGAAGAAAAATACAATGCGAAAGCATTAGAAATTCATGTCAACGAATTTCTATAGATGTCTCAGTAGAAAAAGTTGTACAAAAAAATCGAATACCCAAAAAATCTATAGAAAAATTCAATGGAACATTTTCTATAGACAGAAGCAATCGAAGTAGATTTTTCGTACAATTTACTCTATAGACATTTTTCTATAGAACTTCCTCGGCTCACATTTTCTAAATTTTTAGTTAAATTTTCTAATGAAAGGAGAAGAAAAATGAAGTGGAAAACAATTTTAAAAATCATGTTGAGGTATTTCTATAGAAAATGTCTCAATAGAAAAAATTGTATAGAAAGATGAAATTCTCCTGATTTTTTCTATAAAAAAACGCGCAGTGAAGCTGCGGAATTCTTCACTAGAATTCTCAACTCAAAAGAATTGCGAATAGAAGTTCAATATAAATTCAGGAGAATTTTTTATTGAATTCGCTGGAGGTTTTTCCATGAAATTTGTGCATCCACGTCTCCAAGGCATATTTACGTTTTTTGTAAACAGTATTAAATACCAGAAGAAAAAATGAGAGAGAGGGAAAAATAACCAATAATGAGCAATTATTTATTCTACCTCGAACGGATGACGAGCAAAATCAGGGGAACAGGCAATCTTCGAGGGATAATTAGGGTAATATTGGAGGCGAGGGCTTCAAGGGTAATACTGATGTCGAAGACGTCAGCGAATTTTCTGTCTCATGCCTCCACTGGCAATTAAACGGAATTGATTCCTCCTAAATCTCATCACTTCGTCAAATAATTGCTCCATAAATTCACCAATATTTATTCCGTGTGAATAGGCATAATATAAAATCATTTTCATTGTTGATTAATTGGGTTAAATCAGTTATTTATTAATCTTTTAAGTCTAGATCAATTTTTTCCAATTTCGTATTTCGTAATATGTTACAATATTTTCCATTTCGTTGTCAAACGTCATGTGATGGAACGTAATTATTTTTACAATTCGTCGACCGAATATTTACACAAGTCGAAGTTCATATTAATTATGCGAGGTTTTTGCGAAATTATGATTTGCACAGGTTGAAGTGTTTCCAAAAGAGAAACAAAATTGTGTTTTTCAATAAATGATTTGAAATATAAAATTCTTAATTTGTTGTTTACAAAGGAAGTGGTAAAACATCTTTTTAATATGGAATCACGTGTGAAAAAATTTAATAGAAGAAATTTGATGGGAAAAAATTATTTTCATTATTCTATTTGATTTTTGTGGTCTCTAATTGAAAAAAGTCGACAGATATTTATTATATTCATTGTTCTATATAATTTACTGTGTTGGGATTTGGATATTAAAAAAGAAAAAAAACAGCGGATAAAACTTGAAAACTTCCTGCCCAAGATTAATTAATTTATATACAAAAAAAAATTTCAAGAGAATAATTTATATAGAAAAAATATAATCTATTGACTTTTTTCTACGAAATGTGCATGAATGAATCACACGATGAAGTTGCATAATTTTTTTAAAACGAATCGTGACAAAAAATGAATAGAATTTTCAGTCAAATAAATTTCTTCAGACGTGATTACCTCCATAACGAGTGATTTAATACAAAAATGTGAAAAAATATCTTCTGTATTGCAACATCTCCTCTAGAACCACTCATCATTAATAAACAATTCAGTAATTCGTACTGAAATGTAAAATTTAAAAACGTACTCATCAGTCGCTTGAATATTTCTGAATTAAAAATGTTCATGGCGACAAAATTATTGTCCTCGAATCATGCAAGTTCGCTATTACCAAAAGTGTAAAATATGAATCATAAGGGGTGGGTGGGGTAAAACGGATGATATGCCATCGTCTCATTTTTAATCTTGAAAAAAACATTGAAAATAAAAAAAAATCGTGAATTTCCACTCAACTTTTCTGAAATTATTTCCCTCTGAATAAACTCCGTTTTGCCCCACCCCCCATGTTTTACCATATGCCCGCGATCTCACGCGTACAAAAAAATTCATAGAATTCGTCGAATTTTAGTGGATTTTTTGTTAATTTTTGACTGATTATATTGAAAAATTCCGCAGATCATTTACGCGTTTTTTTCTTTTTATTTTTCAGTAGAAATGTTCAATCGAAAATATTTTGTAGAATAAAATCAGCAGAGCCCGCAGTAAATCAGTAGAACAGCGCATTTCCTCAACGACATCAGCCAAAAATTAACAGAATTTTCAAACAGAAGTTCAATAGAAATACAATATCATTTTCTGTCGATTTCGCTAGGTTTTTCAACGAAACCATTCCGTGCACACTGTTGAAAAAAATTGGCTGAATTTTCCGGAAAAACACATTTAATTCGATTTAAGAGAAAAGAGTCAATGGAATTTCAAGTGTCTCTGAAAATTTGAGGGGAGGTCAAATTTTTTAGCGGCAGGAAGGCGAGAATTCCATAATTTACATAAATTTTCAGGTGAAAATGAGTATTAGTGCCAAATTGCCTCGAAAATTCGCGGAATTCCTGGAATTTTCCGGATTTTTCATTAATTTTTTCAGAGTAAATAAACTAAAATTCGATTTCCACAGATTTTCCCATAAAATTATGAATTTCCAATGACAAAATTCCTTGCCATTTCAGTTGAACCGTTACGTATTGAAAATCTCCAAAAATTTTCTCTTAATTTCTCAATTTTTCGATTATTCTCTTAATTCCTCTTAATTTTCAATTTTTCCCAGACCGGAAATTTCCGTGAAAAATTTTGAACAGTGTGTGCGCATTAATTAATTACTGAATCGGCTCAGTCGTCGTTGCTCCGTGCGTCTGGCAGGTCCACTGAAACCGCAGAAATTGTTATCACGAGTGTCTTTTTTGAATTCCCCACCCGGGAAGGCCCTGGGGTCTCCCGCCCGGCGCCTGAAGCCGTGCCGAGTGTTAAAGTGATCAGTCCCATTGACGAAACCATTCCTGAACGCTGGCAGGGCCGAGGGTCGAGGCCTGTTTATCGGCGGCCTCGAGCCTGGATAAACTGGTCTAGGTGGACAGCCCGTGTGACCGAGAAAGCCAGGATCATGCGCCGGCGGTCGCATTCTGTACGCGTTGGGCCGCGGCATCGGGAATCCGGGGCCCGAGGGCGGGGGAAGGCCCATTTCGGGTGGGGGTAACTGGGGTGGCGCGCCACCCCAGACTTCTCTGCGCCATTGCGCACCCATTGGGGACATGTGGGGAAGGAATCCCGGGATTAGGGGGACACGATCGCGCCAGTTTTCGATCGGAGAGGGGCGGCTAGACTTGGATTTCTTCGCGGAGGGAGTCGATTGAGGCGTCAGGCTGATCGAGGATGTGTCGATTTTTCGCCTCATTGATGACTTCAGGTGGTTGATGTACTCCTGGCGCTCGATCGGGTGCCCTCGAGCTTCTTGAAATGCTTTGGACAGACAAATTGTTTTCGGTCTTGGTGGAATGCTCTGAGAGAAAAAATTTCTTCTGCCGAAAAATTATACGCTCTCCTGCAGAGATTTTTTGTCATCCCCCATCAAAAAGTTTATTTAAAAATATATAATATGGCCCATATTATAATTCCATATATTTTTTAAAATACATGAAATATATTATAAAAGATATCTATTTTTTATATATATTTTTGACATTTCTCGACATTTTTTCGACATTTCTGTTGACCACGACGAAAATTTAATTTTTGCGAAAGATATTAAATTTCCTTCTATAAAGTTTGGAACATATAGTCTTCCGGCAAATCTAATTTTTTCTCCCATTGTTTTCTTTCTTCATCATAATTCCACAATCGCATTGATAACTATCAATAAAAATTGTGTGATAGTGGACAGGGGAGGGGATGAAGAATTTTGGTTTAACTATACCTTTCACAGCATCATCGGCGTCCCAGCCCAACTGCTGCACAAAGTATCTGCAGACGAGGTAGCCAGTTCGGTTGAGCCCATGTGTGCAGTGAACTCCAATGACTTCATCTGGAAAAGAAATTGATGCGACGTCTAACGCTTCGATTTTTCAATTTTTCATCTGTCACTTTGAGTTTATTAGTGATGATGCTTGCGTTGAAGTGAATACCGTTGGATTGGAATTCGAATCGAGTTGATTTTTCGACTCCAACGTGATCAATCACTCTGGTTTGTTTCTGATTTTTGATCGATGGTGCATGATCGCGTTGTAACTGTTATTCGAATTGAATTGAAGAATATAATTTGTAGAGATTGCAGAATACTGGAAGCTCGAGGGAATCTTCTTTGAGTATTCAACCATTCGACGATTTATCGTGATGACTCCCTTTACAGTCATCATGAAAACATTCACATCTTATCTGTCTAATTTAGGGGTGTGGAACAGTTAAAAATCGTCAAGAATCTGACAACTAAATCTCAAAAGCCGATTCTCTCATTACAATTCACAAAAATTTCTTGCGTCAACTAGAACCATTGAAAATCAATCTCGCAAAATTCAAAGAAGGAAGTAAACTAGGAAAAAATTCCCTACTTAGAAATCCTCACCCACGTAACCCGAGGAGAGGTTAGACATCGCATAGTCAGCTAATTCCTCGTAGTCGTATCACCCGGCCGAGGTCATCTCTCAGTGTCCAGAGGGCCTCGCGAAACTCGCAATAAGCATGCCCTACTCAACGAAAGGCTCTAGCAACCAGTCATAATATTCTCGGAACACACGTAGACATCTAATGCAAAATCTGGTGGTGAACCGGGGGACTCCCCGTAGTGTCGCAGTCGAGTAAACGACAACAAATGAGTCTGATCCTCGTTTGCGATAGTAGATATCGTAAACACGACTGTGGGAAAATCCCTTTTGCCCTCATTTCGGTGCCATTCGTGGGGATAAAAAAAAAGACAACATTTGTCCTGACCTTTGGACGAAATTTGACCGCCCACTGAGACCTCAAGACCACTAGAGACTAGACTGAATCAGGAAAATAATCATTTTGGGGAATGAAATTTGCGAGTCGGACGAGTGGTATTGCGGGGAGACTGGTCGAAACATGAGTCCCGCTGGGCTGGACTCGGTATTGGGTCTCAACGGGAGCCAAATCGCGAGGTTTTCATGTGGGATACTGAGGGAATCGCGGAGGCGGTATCATCAATTAACCACGGGGCCTCGATTAATTCGAATCGACGAGTCGAGTGTGACAAATGTACGGATGGATCATGATCGAGGTATATGGGGGTAATTACGAGGAATGATTAATTTAATGTTGGGACTGGCGAGCGGTAATGGGCTGCGTACGGATGTATGTGGTCATGAATTTCGTTAAATTTTTTTTATTGAAGAGTTTTTAAATTCTGGACTGAAGAGAGTTATAGGATTACTGTATTGATGGAGGAGAAGAGATTTGTGGGGAAATAGTGATGGAGAGTGTTGAGTCGTGATGAGCTACTGCGCCACCTGGCGGTGGCGTCTCTGTACCCAGTCGTCATAACCTCTCTATCTTGATTTTTTAACGTTTGTTAGAAGGTTTTTTCAGTGGTTTATAATCCAGGCATATCGGTATAATTATCGGTTATGATTGTAGTTTAATATTGGAATTGTTGAATGATAATGGGTTGCGTATTTGAATCAAATAAACTTTATTTGAATTTAAAAAATGATTCATTTGATTCAAATGATGTTAATTTAATTCAAATAAACCGCTTTTCTGCATGTGTAGTCATGGATTTCGTTAGAATGTTTTTTTTAATTATTGAAGTGTTTTCGAATGTAGATTTGAAGGGAGAAGAATTATCAGATTATTGGATTGATGAATGAGAAAAAATTCATGTGGAAATAGTGGTGGAGAGTATCGGGTCGTTGTGATGAGCTACTACGCCACCTCGCGGTGGCGTCCCTATACCCAGTCGTCATAACCTCTCTAGAATATTTAACAAGAGCATTACCGATTTTTCATTTCTTCCCGATTATGACAACATTTTTTTTCAATAGCTGAAAATAAAAAATTTGACATAAAAAAATTGAATAACGGAATTTATTATAAAATTTCCGGTAATATAGTGTCAAATATAAAAAGAAATATACGTATAATTCGAGAAAAATCAATTAGTCCTAAAAATTCGACAAAAAAAACATTGAAAAAATCCCCTCTCCATCACCGAAATAATCAAGACCGACGTATATAAATTTTTGCCACAATCCAAAGAAGGAAATGACTACTGCAAAGAGTACTCGAGGGAGTGTCCCGAAGTGACGTGGTTAATGTGGCAATATGATATATACCCTCGCGGCTATGTACGGAGAGAAGAAGCGGGGCTCACTTTTGCGGGCCAAAGGGCCACTACCCAATGTTTGTATTGTAGCATCTTCAGAAAAAAATAAATAAAGGACCTCGAGAATGGCCGGGAAATATATGCAGACGTACTGTTGAAATGAGAGAACGTTAATGTCGACGCACGGTACAACCAGAAAAATATATCACGCCAGTGTTCAAGGTGCTCGGACTAAATCGATCCAAACCGCTCCTTTCAATTTCCCCGTTGCCATATACGAAAAGAGAATAAACAATTCTTCCCTTCCCCTCAACCCCCCCCCCCTCCCCTCCTTGTCGCCCCTCATGTCAGGTGGGAATTAAAAAAGGAGAGAATTTTTTTCTGAATACAAATGCGTGCCTGACTCAAAGTGGAAAGTTTCCTTTTTATTTTCTAGAAGATACGAATGCTCGATACTTGATATTGAGCATCGGTAACCATGGTCATTGATAAATGCTAAGTGGAGGCAGCGTGCGCGGCTCCCTTTTGCCTCACGGAATGCGTCGTACACTCGAAATCGTTCAGGGTGGCCTTTTCCCATACGTCCAAGACGAGTTTTCCCGTGGATTGAAATAAATATAATTAAAAATGAGAAAATGTGGGGAAATAGGAGAACTTCATCTGACACTGGACTAGGCGAAAATAAAATTTCACGAAGTGTTTCACAAGGAATTGAAATGATTTCTGTAATTTGTTGACAGGAGTGGACTGAATTTCATGAATTTTTAGTAGAAGTACTATTTTAAATGAATATTTTGAGTTGAGTATTTCGATCGATCAAACGGTATTTATTTATTTTATTAGTATTTATTTTGTTGTTAAATAGAATGAAAATTTTTTTTTAAAGAAAATTGGATGAATTTTAACAAATTTGCAAATGCAGAAAGGAAAAAACGAATGTTGAACGAATGTAGGAGAGTCGCAAGCGCGTCCGACACGCGCGGTCATTTCACTCTGATGTATACGACGTGACTCCGTGGCTTCTGTGGGTCGAAATATCTGTGTGTGGTAAAAAAAATTTAACAAAATAAAAAATGAAACGGAGAAATGAGACGACTTGAACACCGGGGAAATTGAAGGGGGAGGAAGAGAGACACTTGAATATGACTCTCGGTTGAGTTGCCGAAGAGTAGCCGGAGAATATCACGCGCCCACGCTCATCTCCCAACGTGTACGCGAGGAGGGTATCTCAGTTGTTAATTATCTGACGTCGTTTATCAAACGACTGGGAGGAAAGTTAGCCTGGAAATATATTTTCTTCCTTTAGTCCCTTCATTTCCGCATAATTTGCGACATTACGCATTTGTATGCACATCTTTGATGGGCGGATTTTTTTTATTCCCTGGATGACAGCTGATGGTGGGGGAATATGCAATAGTTTTTTTTAATAGAGAGGAGGAAAGAAGAATTGTAATATTATTGCAGGGACATGAGATAGATGTGTGGCTACGGCGCCACCTTGCGGTGGCGTCCCTGTACTTCAACCGCCCTAACCTCACTAAATGAATCACGATTTTTTTATGTGAACACGTCTTCAATTTTATGATATCTGGCGGCTTCTACAACAAATTCAGAAAATTCTCAGCTGCTCTAAAAATTTCACAGAAAATTGGGGACTTTTCAAAAAAAAAATCGAGACAATTCTAGGGTTTTCAACAACATTCGGAAAAATTCTGGGATTTTCCGAAAGTCTTTCAAACTTTCTAGAAAATGTTTGAATTTTCTAGAGCATTTTTAGATTTTCTAAAAAATTAAATGTCATTCAGTGTCAGTCTTAGGATTTTCAATTTTGAATTGAAAAGAAATCAATTGTAACATTATCATAATTACACGAAACCGAGGCTTAATAAATATTGAAAAACTATATTCATTAAAACTCACCGGTTTTGGCCGTCGCCAGAAATTTGTCCACTGCCTTAAAAAATCTGAAACCAAACGAATACCCAAGAATTAAAATTCCGAGAACAAGAGCATCGCGCAAAACAATCCCCCGAAACGCTCCCCTGCCACGCTACCGACTCGTTTAACCCCTGCAACCCCACTGTTTAACCATCATAAACAAGACCAACCGAATGTTTTCCCCGGAGCCGACTAATTTCCAACCCCCGGGGCCAAAATTACCCGAGATTATGAACGCCAAAGGCACAACATTACATAAATCAATACGTAAAAATCTCATTTCAGCTCTACTCTCATTTTCCCTTTTGTCCCCAAAGTGTTTTCCGAGAATGCAGCCGTCGGTATCCTCAGACCCCCAGATTTTTTATCCCACGTAGATCCAAAAAGGTGCGACGAGGTTAAAAAAAAAGGGGAGAGAGAGCCAAGGTGAAGAAGCGAAACGTCTTCGACTCTTCCTCGCAGATTCAAAGATACGGTGAGAGAGAAAGAGAGTAATAATTCACAGGGAGGAGTCCCGTGCATCATCATCCCCCTTTTCTCAACTTTTTTTCCCTCATTTTTAATTTTGAAAATTCTTTCTTTTTCAGGTCTGTTACGTTATCCAATGTGGGAGTGGGACTTATTAACGGATTAAGCCCCTTGAGACGACTCGATAAATTATCGCCAGGTGGGTTTGCTCGAACATCTTTTTTTGGCGATGAAATTCCACCTGCATTCCCGGCATTCTTCGTCATTCTTTTTTTCTTCATTTGAATTTTTATTAATTCGTTTTTTATTTCGAGTGAAAATTTTCTCCAGTCGTCATGCTGCGGGACTAGGCGAACCTTTTTAATAGGCCGTTGTGGGGGGGGGGGGG